TAAGTAATATATGCGTTTTGGGGTAATCGTGTGTCTCAGCTATAAATTCACATGCCACAGCTTATTTTGGTTTTTTTGGCCGAATTTTAGAAAAGAATGAAATAAAAATTCAAATATCAGGAAAAAATCCATAATAAAAGCACAAATTTATGACAAATTTTAAAATGAAAATAAAAAAATGTGTGCATGCATCAATTTTAGAAAACAAATTGGTCTCATAATCAGTCTATGCCTGATTCTTAGAAAACATGGTGGGCGTTTCATATAGTTTATTGTTTGATATCAAGTGTTGTTTGGCACAAAAAATAAATTTAATCTGTCTATTAAATAATTCAAATGAAAGGGAAAGAACTTGAGTGGATTTTTCATATTAGGTTTGGTAATATAGCATTACATATCGATGACAACTGTTTGGGGCTGTAGTTAATAATTAAACATAACGTCTTACATTTCAATGAGTGGTGGCCTTGCTATGCTTCCGTTTTCAACAAGTGGGAGGCAACACAATATGAGTGGATGCTGAAACAACAATTAGTAAGAAAATAGTGAAATTGACCAAATGTCATAAACAACCTTATTTACGAACTGCCAAAATAAATATAAAATATAAGTCCTCCATGTATAAATAATTGTGTAAAAAAAAAAGTCCCAGTTCAACTTGCAGCAGAGAATGCTCACCTGTTCGATGACAATCACAGGCCATAGCTTTCCTTCACGTGTTGAAAGCTCAAATACTGGTGTGCTTTGGATTACATCAGATTTTGAAAACTAAAATTGGGATGAAAATCATACAAATCAGTAAATATATATAGAGGAAACACTTCTGTTACTACCAATTACATTTTGATGTACTTTAATTTGATAACAAGTTTATGGAGATTTATATTTGCATATTATTCAAATCTATATAAGACAAACTGTGATTGGTTCTTGGGTTATTATAGTATGTAACCAACGTTAGGCAATTTACTCTAGGTCATCAAGTATTTTATTATCTCCAAAAAAATTTCTCTTCATTGAAAATGTATGGAGAATATTTTGGTTTTGTTATTCATCATGAATTGCAAGAAAATAAGGCTTCATGGGATACCTTATTTGCTGAAGGTTGTGTCACATTACACAAAAGGCTTTACAAGTAGTTCTGTGATTCATCAACAACATTAATAGTGTAAAAAACATTATGAATAGTCTTCAAGGTCCCTGGGACAATCCCTGGGATTGAAAACTTCTTCCATAAGTTTTTACATAAACGCCAACCACTGTGGACAGTTTAAATTTCATGAAAGACAACATTTATCGAATTTTGTGAGTCAGTAAAAAATGAGTAATTTAGTAGCTGTAAAAATTTCACTCGACTTCCAAGGTCACAGAATTAACAGAGATTCGCCAAAATCATTTAATTATCATCAAATTGTAAATATTTCTAGGAGTGAAAATAAAATTAGTTACACACCTGTGAGCTTTCACTTTTCAAACCAAGCGCAGAAACTAATGCAGAATAAAACACTGAATCCTCTGGCAATTTGACATAATTATCGGCTGATTCAGCAAATATTTTGGCTCTTTTTTCCACTGTTATGAATTTCCTGCAAACATTTAAGATCAAGTACATGTATCATACATGACGCAATTTATTATTATTACCTGGTATGTGCGAATTTTAAGCAAAAATCGTATTGATCTATTGGGATCTTAAACATAATGTACATGTATTGCAGTACCATAATACAGGTGTATAACAATAATCAAATACTGTAAAATACTTTATTTTAGCTGGAATTAATTTTTGCTGAAAAGACTTTTTGGGTGTTATGTATGGAATTTATTGTCACTGATTTTTGACAAGTTGAATGTAAAGTATACGAAAAAAGGTATATTCACTGGATTATATTTTCAATGAATCGTTCCTTAGCGAAAATAGCGAAAATTAATTCCAAGCAAAAATAAAGTATTTTACAGTATTGGATAAGAAGCCCCTCAATTATATGTCAATGTGGTGTGGGAGATTCATTATTGATATTATGATGTACCGTAATCATCAGGGTTACATGTAGGTGTTCATTTCTGTTTTGGTTTGTTGTAAATACAAAACCTGGTTGGTGTGTTGACTGGGTACGTAGCTTAGAACACCATGGTCTTGCAAGTGTCTCGATCACTCTACGATGAAACACACAGACGACACATACCTAGTTGGTCGTAAACAAAGTATGCTTAAAGGCGATATAAACTTCCATGTGAGTGTTTTGTTTGAGTTCATGTGAATTATAAATATGCTCTTAGTGTTTATGTCACAAAACAAAAGACTGAATCATTACGGAATTTAACATCAAAATGTTATACAGACTAAGAACACAATAGGGTAGCTAGCAATGATGCAATGTCCAAATATGGGCAAAGGTATATTACACATGTATATGACCTGTTATGGGTTACCTGTTTGAAAAGATTTGTTTGTACAATTTTTTTTTCTTTTTTTTTTTAAAAAAATTCCGCTAGCCAACCCCAAGTTACCAAATACCCGGTAATTATTCACTGGGTTTCATTTTTATTTTTCACTGACTGGAAAATGTGCTAAATTAAAACCTAGTGAATATGTAAAATTTAGCATAGAACACATTATATAAATGATAAAACCATGAATTTAAAAACCACTGAATATACCTGAAATGGTAAATCAGCGAAATTTAAACCCAGTGAAAATTAGTCATTTTACAGTAGATTTACATGTTATATATTTTTATGACCCTGTGAAGAATGAATTGAGGGCATTTTTTATTTTTTTTTATTCAGTGGAACAAATTATTTGAAATTTGGGCACAACATATTTATGTCAGTTTTTTTAGAGTACCCCATCCTACAGACGGATATATACGCCCAATCCAATGAAAAAAACAGATAAGCTGAATACAGTCAAACTCGGCCTAATTCTAACTCGACCAGGAAAAAATAGTCTAACTTGACCAGTTTTAATTGCAGAAGTGTGAAGTGGTCAGTGGTCAATGGTCAATAATTATTATCTTTATGTGTTTATGTGTGGTTACATTTCATTTTCAGATGATATATCTGCTCCACAACACCCCCAGTGACGCATCCACTTCACTCATATGTTTTTGATTATCTCAAATGACTGTTTTGTTATCGAATCCAGCGACACAAGTTTAACAAAAAAAAGCAACACTACTGGTTTTCGATTTCAATAAATCCTATGACCATGATTTCAGTGACGCAAATTTACAAAAAAACACTGACATTACATCGGGAACACAGACATTGCCCTGGCAACCATCTGGCTCTGCTATGTAATATACCATGATTAATGTTTCAATTTGTAGCTATTTTATGAAGCAGCATTTTATTATGTGATTTTCAATGCATTTTATCTTTCAGATCTATTACAAAATAGTGTGAAGATTTCGAGTAATAAATATAACATTTACTAAATCAATTCTTTATAGAAAGCTCTACGTTACAGGTGAATTAATCTATAATTTACAGTAATATGACTTTGTTAGAAATCAAACACTCTAGTTAGAAAATGGCACAGCCCTGCTACTGAAATCGACAACCCTTGCCGCCCTAGCCGTGGTTTCGCAACGTTTTTGGGTCTGGGAAGG